TGGATCCATCAATCCTCCTGTGATTTTTTTAAACATTATCACGGATAGGATACGTTGTTGCTTTTTTAATGCAAATATCACCTGCATCTTATCTCGGTAAACTTATATATAATTCATTATAAATTTATAAATTTAGGAATTTATAAATTTTTAATAATTTAATTATTTATAATAAATTTTTACGAGCATTTTCTCACTTTATTCCAGTCTTGAATTATTGCAGGCGAATGTCTTTCCCTACAAAAATAAATAAAATAGTAATATATTTTTAAGGGCGGATCCAGGAAGAAGAAGAAAAAAAAAGTTCCACCCTACAAGTTTTGTAGAATTGAAAAATATTTATAATTTGAATGAATTTTATGTTTCAATAAATTCTTTTGGCTGTAGAGGGACAGTCTTTGTTTAGGGGTATATTTCGTAAATAAAATAAAATTTGTATGAAGTAATTAATTCAATCAGTAAATCAATAACAAGTATACAAGTATAAAAAAACTCTATTATTTAAATGTAATACAACCAATAAAATTTAATAAATCCGATAAATTTTATAGTAAATAAATTATTTTATAGTAAATAAGTAAACAATATAATAGGTACATTGCGTATTAATGTGGTAATCTTAATAATAATTGATATAATTGATTAATTCGGCAGCATTGGGTCATTATGTTATATTTGTGCTAACAAATTATAATCACAGTAACATACAAATTTAACATATATACGTGATTGATGATTACGATAAAGCTTTGCACTTGAAAGTAATCGAGTCTTCATATGTTCTCTAATTTCATCGTGCAACTTGCTAGATCCGCCCTCGCAAACGCGTTGCCTCGAAAAAGTGCTCGAAAAAACCATCTCGCGGTACATACTCAATATTGCTGTGCGACACTGTCGGATTAACGCTACACGACACGTTATATAGGGGCTGGCTAGAGAGACAGTTCCACATCCATCCCTTTGCACTCGTTTATCAGTTTTTAAAAATTTACTTTGCTTATCAAAGCTTTTAAACATATTTTAAATATTGCATATAATCGTGATTTTTAATTAAAAGAAACAGTTTTCTGTTTTTTACAATACAGAAAACATTACAGAAAACAATACATTTATGAAAATAGCAAATAGCAAACTTCACATACATATATATATATATATATATATAACTATATAAATAAAATTAATTTTTATTCTATTAAACGTTAATTATTTTATTGTTATGCTTTCAATCTACTGAATTTTATTGAACATAAATTTTAAACATAAATTAAGAATAATAATTAATAATTTTCTCAAAAAATAATATACAAATTCGGAATATCATTTAAAATAATAATACGGTCTATGGCAATTAGATGATTTCAGAGTGCAAAAGGATAAAAACGTTTGCTAGGGCTTGTAGAAATTTCGCGTCAAGCACGGCTAATAATTGATTTATTTCTCCAATCCTCATTTCCTAGAGAAACATTCGACAGGTGTTTGCATTTGGCGTAGCGTAGGCATTTCTTTTTGTACAAACGGCCAAACGTTATAAATAATTCTAAAATTCATTAATTTCATAATTCTTTAACGCAACAATTTCTGAAAAGTTAATGGAATTCATTAAAACTAATTTAGATATGCGATAAGAAGAAGAAGTAACTCTAAAAATGTAACTCTAAAAAATTTTTCAATCATTTTTAGATAATTCATGATTGACTTTTTTACATTTTTTCTAAGATGAAAACTTATGTAGTTCGATATTCAGCATATCACAAGAAGGATTCAAAAGATGAAATTTCGCAAAAAAAAAAAATGAGTTTGGTCGTTTGTGCATGCTTGTGCATATCCACCATCAGTCTACAGACTTGAGTCTCGTTATCAAGTAGAGTCGCTTATTATCAAGAGATATCGAAAAACGTCTATAAAGATTCGTAATATGTGGTACATTAGAAATATCCTCGAACGAACAACACCTTGCCGATAAACGTGCCGTCTTTGAAAAACTCGCGAACTCATCGTAATTAGATTAATCAACGACTTAATCAATTTCACTGAGGATGATCACTTTCAGTTATACTTCATCTCCCTATTTCCTTTTTTCTTTTCTCTCTTTAAATACATAAACAAACTATCCTCCCGCAAGCTTTAGTGTCTTGTGCGCGTTTTGTTACATACAGGATCTTCGAACAGAAAGACAATATATGTGCTTAAACTTGGAAAGATGTAGCAGTGATCTCCACTAATTGCACACAGGCCAGACGATGAATTGATTCTTTTCCTACAGCGATCATTAATTGATTAATCTAAAAAAACTGACATCTCACAGTACTACAAAGTAGAATACTATTTTATTGTTATGAGAAAAATCCAGATTATTCCTAATAATTATAATAATTCTAATATGACGTTACTATCTTTTCGTGAATCCAATTATATAATTTCTCGATTATTAATTTATCTGAAAAACTTATAATTTAAAATCAAAGATGCATTTTAAATATATAATTTTTATCTTAATAGAAAAATTCAAATAATAAAACAAAATAAAATGTTACATTTCTACATCAATTATTGTGTATCTCATAATCCAATATCGTTCTTCCTTTTAAAGAATTAGATCACCACTGTAAGTAAAGAGTCGATCTCGAAGATTAGGAAATGACTTTTGCGAGTATGATGATATGTAGGTTTTATTAAAAGCCAAGAGATATTGCTTAAAATCTGATAGCGATCAAGAAACGCTATTATAATCTATCCCTTTAACCCTTTCATGTCAATTAACTTAAAATCATAATTTTATTAAGATGTTAAAAATATTACGTTAAAGATGTATTTGTAGAATTCTATTAATTAATATAAAATTAAAAGTATAAATTCGAAATAATATAATTTATATTTTTTTAAATTATTAATTAATATATTAATTAATAAGCAAAGTTGATTTCTAATTTTATTTTAGCAAAAACTGTTCTCCATACAATTATTATAATTAAACGTGAAAGAGTTAATGCTTGAGGGATGTTGAAAGAGCAGAGGACTTTATGTGGACTCCGCAGCTATCATCGTTTCAAGCTTAAACGTTTGGAAATATATCCCAAAAGGATCTCCTTTTCCTCGTACGAAGCCGGCCCGAAAACAACGCAAGTAGCTAGTATTAAATATCGCACGAATTTGTCTAGTAGCACTTGAAACGATACTTAGGGCCCCGAGATCGGCGACGAGGAATTGCCTGTTCCCATAACGACAGATGTCAGAAGAAGCCAGCAGCGTCTCGCAATGGTATGGTGATTCGTGTCAGAAGATTGACTGCGATTTTTTTCCCGCTCTTTTTTTCCTCAGGTTGTAAAACGATGAATCGCCCTAGCAGATGCAGCTGCTCTCGCCCTCCGACTCGGAACCGTTCTGCATCGGCGATTGGTTCTGCAAGTCGACAGCTGCTTTTGTGTGTTAAGGCGTGTTACATTTTCAATTTGCGTTTTTTATCAACAATTTTATCATAACAATTTTATTTCTTCCTTTTCTCGCTATTTCTTAAGAAATTAAATGAATTATATATATATATATTTATAAAAAGAAGTAATTCAATCGTGTATGTTTCTCACGCCTAGCTTGTTCTGTTTGTCGTGCCAATAGAAGGTATAAATGTGTTTCGAAAAATAAAATAGAAACTCATGCGCTTTTGCAATTTGGCAATGTTATTGGTCAGTAAATACATTATTGCACTTGATAAACATTTGATTGATAGCCTTAAACTTAATCAATGCGTGTTGATGTTTAATACAATGAATTCTTATAAGTCAAGTAAAGTACAATGCAATCCTTAATGATATTACAATAAATAAATCTTTTTTAACGATTTCTTTATTATTATCTATAAATTTCTAAATATTCATCTATCGATTGATACTAATAATTGTCGCTGTCAAAAATCAATCATCAATCTCGTTACTAGATTTCTTTCAATTTTTTTCTAATTAATAAAATCCTTTGTGAGAATATAGCTATAATTTAATTAGTACAACATCGCATTTTAATTTCCGCTTATCAAAGCTAAGAAAAGTGATAATTAAAAGGCGTATAAAAGTTTAAAAATGGGACGGAGAATATGTCAGAGTTATTTATGAGTTTTTCAAAATATAGAATTTCAAAAAGCAAAATATTATTAGATACAAAACAAAATGGAAAATAATTTATTACGAGTTAATAAAAATTTTATTAAAATTAAATTTAAATTTAACATTTCGGAATTAATTGTCCATAAATGTCATAATCAATTAAGCCTAATATAAAAAATAAATATTTCTTTAAATTTTTTAAATATAAATTTTACATACAATTATCAAAAATACTAAAATTATTAATATATATAGTCTTCTTCCTACAAATTCGTTACAAGTAATTTTAATAACTCCCCGATAGTTACTCTTAATAATCTTCTTCCAAATTTAAGAAAAAAATAATCAAAAAAGTAAAAAAGCCAAGTAAGCCAATAAATCACCAAATCAAATTTTTTGAAACTATATTTTTACACATAAAATAAATAATTTAAAAAATAATTTAAGGAATAACAATAAAAAGTAGCATAGGGCAAAAATAAAAAACCGTAGATAAGAGAAACCAACATAAAAAATATTATTTTTGCAATATTTCTTTATATTATCGATAGTCTGTTTTTCTACATAAATTAGGATATTATAACAGACAAATAGTCAACAAAGAAGATATTAAAACAATATTAAAAATTAAAGGTCTTTTGTCCAAATTTTAAGTTTCACTTAATATATGCAACTTTTAGACACAACACTTTTTCTGTTATTTGTTAATTAAATTGTGTCGGTCCAAAATAAACTAATAAATAATAGTTCAAGAAATATAATACTTTAAAAAATCCGAGCCTGTACAGAGTTGTTTATTTATACTATTCTTAAGATATTCGTAGAAAAAGATATAGTTAGCTGCTAATTTATTATATCCATATGTTCCGTAGAAAAATTTCTTGTCAATGATTTTCCCCTTCATTTCCTATCATTTTTTTGTCTTTTATTAACGTTTCACCGTCAATTAATATCCGTATTTAAATTAGTATAGATTAAGTTTTCAATGTTGAGTTTCAGTTCTATATATATATATATATTCTTGTATTGTATCAAATAGAGCGAGGATTTATATATTATTAGTCATTAGGACTTGATATATCCTTACTAAAAATTTTAATTTAATTATCTCAAGGACTGCATTTACCTAACGTGTTTATCTTATAATTTATAATCTCCAAATTTTTTTAATTGCTGCTAATCGTAAATGCAACTGCAACTCTTATCTTCTCTATTTATTGCAAATGTGTAAGACAATTAATATCTCGTTTTTGAAAACTGTAATGCATAAAGACACACTTCTCAGCTGTTTAATGTTAATTTGAGCAATTAATTATCGATAAATGTTTAATTGTACTTGTAAAAAAAAATATATAATATTAAACAACCACTATTAACAAGCAAAATAAGCTTAGGTGAACTTTGATATTTTAATAAAGGCCTTGTCAACCCTTTTAGCGTTGTTTTATATTTAAATAAAGAAAAGATCCAAATAAAACTAAAAAAAAAATAAAATTTAAATTTAATAGTAAGTACAGCATCAGCTAAAAGTATGGAGTACTTTTAATTGATTAATAAAAACTCAAATTAGATTGTAAATAGTCTAAATTTAAATTTATCATTTTAATTTAAATTTTAAATGTGTAACAATAAAAGCAAATTATTTAAATGTATTTTTTAATCTGCTTGAATTTGCAGGCCAGATAATCTAATTCTCGCGATTTTTTAAAAACGCTCCATAATTTTCGCCAAGGTTGTAATAGTTGCATCATGACCGAAAGAGTTGACAGCCTTTTCTACAATCGGCTAATATATGGAAACACGTCATTGTGTAAAAGCAGTCTTAAGCTACTATGTGAAACTATTATTTTTCTCATCTTAATAAAAATCGTTGCTGGTTTAGTGCACACAGCTTTTCACGAGTTTTCCGACACCGCGAAAAGCACAGGCCGAATGCAATCGGTATCCTAACATCGTAAATCATTAACTTATAAATTAACTTAGCTCAGTGTCTTGTCTACTAATCAGGGCATCGAATAGAAACAGAGTTACATGCTATTCTCTTGTCTTGCAGCGAAACAAATTAAATTAAAATAAATTAATTATATTGATGTTATTAATATATTATATAAAATAATATTAAATTTCTTAAAAAAAACTTCTAAGAGAATTTTCAAAGAACCTATAATATTTTCGAATAAATAATAATATATTAATATTATATAGTAATATTAATAATTATAATATATGCAAAAATATTAATATTTCATTAGTTATTTATAATTCTTAGTAAAAGAATTAAGACTTGGAAAAAAATTCTCTTAGAATTTTCTTTAGAAAATCGGAAAATCGGATTATATCTCTTGAAAGTTCTCAAACCATTCCAAGATAATCCGGTTTAGGCCCTATTCAAGAGTTTATTAAGACTCCTTCCGATTTGATTCGATTCGATACCCTGCTATCGTATAGACCGATGACGACTTAGCATGCACAACTGCTCTCCGAGGCTTTCAGTTCGATTGGCGTGTCCTTGAGCACTACCTCTTGCACTACGGATTAAAGAACATATTAAGGAAAACACAAAAGTATAACGCAAACAAATGGAAGGTTCGGACTGCCAAATAAATCCAATTCCAAAATCAAAAGAGAAAGTAGAGTAGATAGCGGATGCTCTTTCAAAAAATATATCAAATGACAAGAAATGTTAATAAAAATCTAATACTTAGCATCCCTTAAAAAATTATATATTAAAAAAATTATATATTATATATTAAATAAAATGATAGATATAAAATATGCACAAAGAGAAAATTTTTTTCCTGAAAAAAGTATTGATAATTAATTAATTATGAAATAAAAACTTGAAAGATAGTGTATAAGGAGCATTTTTGTTTAATTATTTCCAATTCAAGGAAATAATAAAAAAAATTGACATAAAAAATCAATAGTAATATGCAGAGTTGAGGGAATAGATAATAACAGGTAGCAAGTAGGAATTATGTACACGTGAAATAAGTCGCCGCGAACGTTCCTGCAAATGTGCCATGCAAATTGCGTGCAGTAAGTATCTTACGCAAAGGATACTGTCTTCAGGAGGTTTGTTTTCAGTGGAGTCCATACCCGGCAGAGCCGCCGCTACTCTTCTAAACAGCTAAAATAATTAATAATAATAATAATAATAATTCAGAACTCCCTTCTATCGGCCAAAAAATTTCTTTGTGAATTTAGTGTAAAACGAATAATATAACTACCTGTTTAACATTGTAGCCGGCCTTAGCACTAGTTTCGATGAACATCACATTTAATTCTTTCGCTTTTCGCTCGCCTTCTTCCGTCGAAACTTGTCTCTTATCACTCAAATCTGTTTTATTGCCCACTAGCATAATTATCACATCACTTCCTCTTTCAGTCCGCACATCGTCTATCCACTTGGATGTTTGATGAAACGAATTGGCGTCTGACAAATATACGATTTTAATTTTATAATTTATTTACAAAAGTGTACCATAATAACTGTATGCCAGTGCAATTAAATTTATTATATTATTATTGTAAACATTTATTATTCATTACGATAATAAAATTATTTATTAATGCATTCGTAAAAAGAAATAATCAAATATGTTGAGAATCAATATATTGTTTGTAAATAATTTAAAAAGCAAGAAAATAAATGTTTAAAAAAACTTTTAAATATATTAATATATTAATATATTAAATATATAAATATATTAATATATTAAAATTGAAAAATCTAAAATCTTCAGATAAATTAAAAATTTTAAACTAAAATATATTTCTAGATGAATTTCTTTAAAATATATCTTATTATAAAAGTGAATTTAAAACAAAGCATAATTTACATCACTAAGAAAATATTTCGACATCAAATTCGTGGGACACCGCATTTCTTATATACCGAGTGCTTACTGGTAATATCGTAAACAACGACTGCTACGGTAGAATCTCTGATGTAACTAGGTATCAAAGAACGGAACCGCTCCTGCCCCGCTGTATCCCACAGCTGTAGTCTCACAGTTCTATCCTCAAGATACATAGTTTTGCTTAAAAAATCTATACCTATCGTAGCCTGTAACATAGCGATATATCAAAACATTAAAACGATTTTTCGATCAAAATCTCTTATAGCGCAAAACATCGAAAATACAAAGAAAATTGACTTTTGTAAAATAACAGGAAAATTGAAATGGTTTTAAAATTAAATATAGTAAGTAAAATTATAAAACACTTTTTTTCCTGATAATAAATATTTAATAGAAGAGTATATAAAGTAATTTGAAAAAATAATTTTATTATATATCAACGTATATTTACCTTGTGTATCTAGTAATTTATTATAAATATAATTAATATAATTAAATATAATTAAATGCAACGTATAATTTATTAAAACGATGCCAGACATATAACATGGCTAAAAATACGTAGAAAAAAAGAAACAAGTTATTAGCATTCTACAAATTTCTTCGTCTCTCTTTCTATCTTCGTCGATTAAAAAAAGTCGATATCTTGGTTTCCTATTGCCTCTCCTGCTAGCATTAGGTCTTTTCGTCCTGTACTTTTTCGCATTTTTTGATATTTACAATTATATATTTAAAATTATATGAAAAAAATACAAAAAAAAGAAAAGTGCAATTATAATAAACAAAAACAAACTTAAAAAATAAATGTAATTTCCTTGATTAAATTTGAGTATGTTAGCGAATTTATTTTGTAAATCGAGAGGGAGATGATAAACAAATCATTCAAAACATATAATAAACAAATCACTAAACATCTTTTATAGCCATTTTTTTATAAAATTATTAATTATTTATAATAAAAATTAATAAATGCACAGTATTCAAGTTATATAAAATAAAAAATACTAGAGTAAGTAAAAACAAACATATTAGTTCATATACATAAAAGTGCAAAAGTTAATGACAGAATTGTTAATGTGTGACACAAAAGACATACTGAGACATTGCAAATTACATTCAAGTATAATAAAGAGTAAATAACTTCTTTTGATAAATAGTTTGTAGCATTTGTTACGATAGTAATAAATAAAGGAAACTAGAAAACAAAAAGAGAAAAATATGACATATTGATCTCAAATTAAAATTATAAATTTAACTTATAATTTAATATAACCTATTTTATAATTTAATAATTAATACGTAATATATAAATGACTATATTTAAATATTTTTTATATAATTTATATAAAAATACTGTGTTCTTGGATTCATAAATCCTATTATTTATAACCAAATGCAATAACCATCATTCAATACATGATTTATCAAAATTTATAGCCAATTTTGTTATTGCTATAAATTTCACACATAAATAACAGTAAAACCTAAGAAAATTACCTCTCGTATAAAAATTTCTTTATGTTCAATAAATCTGAAATATTTTAAGCTTTAATAAATGTTTAATAAATCTATTTATTTTTAACAAATTTAAAATTTAAAAACTATTAATAAAATTTAATAAAAAAAATTTTTTTAAATTCTTTTTGATTGAAAATCTAAATTTTGCAAATTTAAATTAATATTTAATAAAAAACACTTTAATGTTTAATAAAGATTACATTAAAGATTAAAGATATTAATACATTGATCTAAATAAAACATTTATATATGTAGAGATATATATATGTACGTATAAAAGTATGTACACCTCCCCCCCACACACACACATACAATTTTCCACTCGTACATATGCATGCAATAAAAACTGGTACCCATAATTTATTTAAATTTAAACAGGGATAAAAATAATTTGAGCATAATAAGTAAAAATTATTATTTAAAATATATATAAATTACATACCTGGTACGTGTTGTCAAAGCTGTCATACATAAACCGAGTAATAAGTGATGTCTTCCCGACTGTAATAAAAAAATTACATAACTTATTTACTCAGATAAGTTACGTTTTTGTAAATTTTTTTTTTTTTTTCGAACTAAGAATCCCAATTAATTCTTAATTTTGAAAGATTTGTGAAATTTCTTCTTTTGTCAAATTTACATTTCAATATAAAAATTCTTACTATGAAATTTAAACAAGTTAGCAAATTTAATATTTAAGGGAGTCGAGCATTCAATTCGAGAATTCATTTGAAAGACCCGCTCTATTTTGCAGTAGGCGCAGCTGCTAGAGTGGCATTCGGCGGAAAGTGTAGGGCGCCAGATATCACGCTGCATTGTTTTAAGCGCCTAAACGCACGGTCGGAACGAGCGTAGTTAACACGGCGACGTCGTGTCATTACAGATACGGTGGCGGCGCGACGGTGGGGAATATTGATCCATAACCTAGAAGGGTACCAGGCGACGTCGGGAAGGGTCGTCACCCCGATCGAGCCTGCTGGCCGTAGGACCGGACCTCGCGATAGCGCTCTCCCCCCCCCCCTCTCCCCCTCCTTCCCCTTTATCGATCCATTTTTTTTCGTGGAACACCAATGTTCACTTGTTGACACACCGTCGAGACACTCACCGCTCTGCTCACCCAGAAAGCGAGCTTGAACTTCCGCAACGGGTTACCGAAATCGCCCGAGGACGACATGTTTTTCTTTCGTCGCGCCTGAACGGATTCTCGGCAGGCCTAAAACCGGCGGTTTCGATGCCAACGGATACTCGATAACGCACTCAATGGCTGCCACGACGAGTCATTTAAGTAATCAGCTGCGCCGGCTGACAAAAGTCTCCGCTAGTCTCTCTCTCGGGCTCTTCAGGGCTGACAGCTTGACAGCTCGCGACGCTCGCTTGGATGCCACTCCTTGCTGCGAGTCAGCCACGTTTAACTGGGAAGTGACGTCGCGGCTGAGAAACGGAGTAACAGAGAACGATAGACGGCACCACCGGTTTCCGAGAGGAGGAAGTGGGCTCGGTCTCCCACTCATTCTTCCACGATTCTAAAAAATCAACCTATAACGTTCTCTGAATGCGCAGTGGATAACCAATCAGAAATTGCTTCAAAACTGTGACATGTTCGCTAACATTAACCTAGAACTATAGAATTGACAATTGACAATTTAGAATCAAACGTATCTTTTTTTTTAAGATTTCTTCATTAATTTATATTTGTTTCCACGTATTTTTTTCAAATTCTAATCTATATATCTTATTATACTTTTATTATATTATTATTTATACGCCTCTGCATTCTGAACCAATTTCTAATAGAGCTAGCACCAAATTGGATTTTTCATTATTAATTAATAGGATAATGGAATAAAAATATAATTCACACGTATCGTGAAAATTTGTTTAAAAATTAAAATTTATGTATAATTATACGTACAATCCATCTATAAATAAAAATTTCTGAAATAACTTCTAGCCGCAATAATAACTTTTATTTTTTTACAAGTATATACACGTCATACATGAACCCGCATGCATTTGGTACAAGAAGCACAGACAGCTGTTATGTACACATCACAGAGAATGCATGTAATATCCTTCAAACAGATTACTCCTGATGTGGTCGATTATTATTTCTATAAGGATCCTCTATGACTATGGAATGACAGATTAAATCGTAGCCGGTTCGGTTAAATCTAAAGAAAAATAGAGAGAAGCAAATCGGAAATATGAATGCCAGTACGAGATTTTTCACCATTGAGCGACCCAAAGCCAATGGCAAGCCCAAGTCGGTTCCAGGGCTTACTAAAACCATGTCTGGCTCATTCGGACGTTCAACAGGAGTTATACTTCGACATTGAACAACCCGCAAACCCATCATGTACTTTCCAGGAGTAGCACCTCCAATAAGACCATATACGCCATGTTGAAGCCAGAAAGCCTGAAACATTTAATTTAAAAAATTAATTTATTTTTAATACGATGACTTATTTTCAAAAGACACTATTTAATTTCTTTATGAAATATTGATGGAATTTTTCTGTACCTCAAAAATACAAACTATCACTCGATGAATCACTTCCAAAATTAGAATTCCATAAGTCATTTCCAGAGCCATTTTATAATCAATGCGCAAATTTGTTTGAAATAAATCTAAGTCTTCGACATCTCTGAGAAAATTAGAAAGTATTAAAAAAGAAATTTAAAAGATAAAATAAATATAAATTACAATTGAAAAGAAATGCAGTATTTCTCAAACACTTATCACATTATGCTTAGCAGATTTTGTCTATTTACAAAATTTCTTAGATTACTACACAATGTTATAATGTTTCTACCTACATAAAATCGAAGACATCAATTGCAATGAAGGTAATGGAAAACTTCAAGAGAAATAGCATTGATGAATCTATGAATTCTGCTGCGAATCTCTTCCAAATTGGAGGAATGCGATATTCATAACCTAAATAGATACATTTAATAAGATAAATAAATAAATAAATCACTATTATATTTATACAACTTAATATTTTTTTAGAGCTGATCCTAACCATCAGTTCCTGGAGGTTGGAACGGTCCTGTAAGTTGTTCTTGAGGTCTCCTCTGTCTCACTGTTTCATTTTGTCTGTCTAAATTATTTCCAATTATTATTCCTTGTGTATTTGATGATGTTGGTACTTGATTTGGTTGAAAGGGTGTTGAAGCTGAAATTATATCTTCTATAAGATTCAATTTATTGCTATAACTGACATTACAGATTTTGATAATTTCTCAAAAAATTATTCGTAATAACAATATATATATATAT